ATCGATTTGATCCTTGCATGCTCATTCCTAGTTTCCTGTATCTGAAAAGAAGGTATCCACGGTCTGAGCCTTACAGTTTTTCCGCCGTTCGCTCTATTCCAATCGGTCAAGGCGTCAAGACCAGGAATCTGGTCGAATTTCTCCGTCGTTCGTATCAGATCAATATAAAAAGCGGGGGATGGCGTGACCCCGCGCAGGATGTCGATCAATCCGCAAATTCTCGGTGAATAGGACCCTGAGCAGCAATCATGATTCGGTCTCGGGGTAATAATGAGCGATACGTAGGTATTATATCAAATAAGGGACATGCCGTGTATGCCATCGTCCATGTCAAACACACTGTAGTCAACCACCATGCATCTGGCAAATATCCTTCCCTGGGTCCTTCTGCCGTTAGCGGTCATTGCAGATGTCACTACCGGACAGTCTCGTCGCCAAACATGTACCGTCAAGGCAGGAGGTTCCGAATCGATTGATGATACGCCTGCTATCCTCGAAGCCTTCCATAAATGTGGAACGGGCGGGAGGATTGTCTTCCAGAATACCACATACCATGTCAACAGTGTGATGAACACAAGCGAACTGCACAATTGTGACATTGACCTTTATGGCACACTTTTGGTATGCAATCCTTGCCTTTATTCTTGTAGCCGACTGACAGACGCAGTGGGGAACCAACATCTCGTACTGGCTCTCTCACTCCCTGGACGTGGGCTATCAGAACCAGTCCACCGCATGGGTGATAGGAGGCAAGAACATCCGGTTCAACGGCCACGGATACGGCACATTGAACGGCAATGGACAGGTATGGTATGACTATGTCAAGAGTGTGTCGAATTATCCTCGCAGGCCGCACGCCCTCACCGTCGCGCGGGCATCGAACTCGGTCTTTCAGGGCTTAAGGTTCCTGCAAAGTCAGATGTGGTAAGAAGCCATCCTCTGCAGGGGGTCAATAGCTAAGAGACCAGGACGTTGTCTGTGATTCACTCGCAACATATCCTCTTCGACTCGGTCTATGTGAACAGCACGACCACCAACGGCAACTCGGCTCGTAAGTAACACATGAAGTAACCATGCGTGACCTCAATGCTAACTGGTAAGACAATACCGACGGAGCCGACACCATCTACAGTTCGCACATCACCTTCAACAACTGGACGGTCGACAACGGCGACGACAGCATCAGCGCTAAGGCCAATTCCACTGACATTCTCATCACCAACTCGGTCTTCTATCGGGGCCTTGGCATCGCCATAGGCAGTATCGGCCAGTACAAGGACGTCTTCGAGACCATCGAGCGCGTCCGAGCCGAGAACATCACCTATTACGGCACGCTGCACAGCCTCTACTTCAAGACCTGGACGGGCGAGCAGGTCAATTACCCGCCCAACGGTGGAGGCGGCGGCCTTGGCTGTACTATAACCTTTTCCCTTTCCCCCTTTCTTGGATGTTTGGGTCTGCCCTTCTGACGAATACCGTTGCAATAGATGCCTCAGATATATCCGCCTCGAACCTCCACGCCTACAATCTGCGCGGGGCCCCCTTTACCATCTCCCAGTGCACGACATTTTCAGGGGCGGCGAGCAACTGCACGTCGTCCAAGTTTCAGATCCGGGATCTGCGCATTGAAGATATCACAGGGTCGTCCAAGACGGACGTGGTAGCCAGCTTCCAGTGTAGTGCCGTCAAGCCGTGCACGGATATACAGATTCAGAACGTGAACTTGCAGCTGCCGAATGGGACGATGGCGGATGAGTATCTGTGTGGTAATGTCGAGGGCACTCGGGGGTTTAACTGCACAGGGAAGGCATGTGAGAAGCCCATTGCCACAGGAGGGTGTTAGCAATTGTGCGTGGTAGATAGCGTCAAGTTGACGGCCAAGGAAGCTTGGTCAGTCAGTGTATCACTCTGAGTATGACTAGGGCTTTTGAAGAAGGGCTGTTAAGCCACTGGATGAATAGTCTCCTGACATCTTGGCTCAGCGGAGCTATTGCGTAGTCACTGCTCCATCAACTTGTCGCGCATTGTGTGACAAAGCACTGCATTATGAGGGAGATATTGATCGACTCGACGCGGTTAATATTGTCCTCCAATCAGTTATCCACGGACCACGGGACTCCTTGCATTCTATACCATCCTTTGATCGAGTGCCATACTGTGACTCGCTTATCCGGTTTGCATATCTCGTACAACTATATTAATTGAGCATGAGTCAATTAATCCGGATTGTACTGCAATTAAAGCTGAAACTGACACGTCAGTGGAGACATATCATTTCGGTCCAGTCGGATTGGGCCTGATTCTGCTCCTATCCATACGCCGGTCTTGGTCTGTCAGGTCATTGCACTGCGCCACAATTCTGACGCTAAATTCTTCGTCTGACAGAGGACTCCATATAAATCTCTCGGCATTGTCATGCGGTATCTGGATCATGGGAACAGGCACTTACAGAGGGGATTCTTCAAGTGAGAGGAGATCGAACAGGTGTGATGGACGGCTGCTCTGTATGATAGCATGAGATACTCCATCAATCACATCGATTCTGTTCTCCGAGCACAGTCAGAGCTCACTCAGCATGTCGATCGAACTGAATCCAGCTGCCAAGAAGGGATGGAGCCGTGGCGGAAATGGGCCGGTGCTTCATTATATCTTGGCGTGCCGATCAACGACGGAAGATGATAATACCGGTGCGCGAATACGGAGGAACTCTGTCATAATTGAGTGGACTCAACCAAGAATGTCTGCTCCCGAGTCATGGATCGGCAATTCTCTTGTCTATTATAGACAGTCACCGACGAGCTTAGTTTCACGTTGATTCCTCAACGCCAGTCCAGGCATGGCCACACTCCGAGTGAGACTTGCCAAGGACGAGCCAGACATCCAACAGTGAACTTGGAGGTCTCATGAAGCTAGAGGCCAGAGACGTAATGAAGAGATATAAAGCAGCGCGTGACCAGCGGACTGCAACTGCCCACTATCAACCAAGTCTCATCCCATCTGCTCTGGTAGCATTGATTTTCTTCTCTCAGTTCTGCGAACTAATACTCTGCTTATCCGTTCTTTGCACACCATCATGTATCAAAAGAGCCTTCTCTTATCCCTGCTGGCCACCAGTGCCCTAGCCCAGTTCCCCATCCCCGACTCCCAAGGCAGCGTGACCTTTGACGAGCCTTACGAGGTCGCCGCCGGCAAGACCTACGACGGTGGCTACAAGACCTACGGCCGTGGCGTCTCATGCACCGGCCAGAGTGAGGGCGGCCAGGACGACACCGTCTTCCTCATCCAGGAGGGCGGAACACTGAAGAACGCCATCATTGGCTCCGATCAGATCGAGGGCGTCTACTGCCTCGGAGCCTGCACCATCGAGAACGTCTGGTGGGAGGCCGTCTGCGAGGGTAAGTCTTAAGCCATTTGCAATTCACCATAACCCACGCTAACACGACGCAGACGCCCTCTCCCTCAAGGGCGGCAGCGGCCCCTACAACATCATCGGCGGCGGTGCGCAAGGTGCCGAAGACAAGGTCATCCAGCACAACTCCGGCGGCCAGGTGAACATCGACGGCTTCACCGTCTACGACTTCGGCAAGCTCTACCGTTCTTGCGGCAACTGCGACGAGCAGCATGCTCGCACCGTGACGATCAGGAACGTCGTCGCGAACTCCGGCAAGACCCTCGTCGGTATCAACAGCAACCTCGGCGACACTGCTTCCATCGACAGCAGCACCTGTGCCACCGACGTCAAGAAGATCTGTGTGGAGTATAAGGGTAACGATTCCGGTGATGAGCCTGAGGAGACCAGCGAGGGTCCTAGTGATGCTTGCCAGTACTCTGAGCCTCTTTCCTCTTGCTAAATGATAGTTGTTTTCGTGATGTCGCTTGTTTCTAGCCTTAAGTGGCTTGGTGCCGCTCCCTTGTGTATAGTAAAGCTTGATTCAATAATATTCTATCCGTACTGGAAGCTGCCTTCTAGAGGAATCTGGAAAAAGTTGGATAGAGTTGGAAAGTTACAAGAACAATTTATGAGGAACACCACCTGTTGCTCGATGCCAGCACTAATCAACGCCCGCAGTTTTCAGATAGTCAAGGTACCACCACGTTCCCAGGAACCAGAAGGCCCCATAGTCACGTAAATTTCCCAATACCCCAGCATGCCCCGGACTCTGGAGAAAAACTGGTGACGCGCGATTTGCAGGCGGATGCCTGAAACGAGGGAAAGGAGGCGCCAGAAAAACACCAACATGCGAAAACACGTGATGGTACGCAAGCTTTTCTTAGCACGAAACTGACTAATCAGCTCCTCCCTTTCAGGGAGGCCTACGTCCTAAAAAGCTGATGGAAAACTCCAGTTTCAACACACGGTTCATCCTAGGCTTTCTCTTCAAGAGGTTCCATCTATCGCTATGCCCTTCCCTGGAGATCTCGCCGACCTCCAAGTCAAGATGGCCGAGGTGACCTGCACCGGGTCTCCCCGCAGCTCACGTCAAGCCTTCACCAGCTGGACATAGACGACCAGTATGAAAATGGCAAACTCAGTGGTGGAGTCTTCCCTGAAGTCTTGTCTACTTCACGTGCAATCCAGCTCGTGGAGATCGCGAGCGCACAACTGCTGAACCGGGTTGATGTGAAGCATCTATGTCCGTCAATCACGGGGACAAGGCTCGTCACTGTAGTGACTTATGTTGCTACTAGGGACTCGTGTGCCAGAGTTGAGGGTGTGATTTCTGATAGTGCTGGACAGTGTATTGCGACGGTAGATGCGTGGTTTTCTATCGTGTGCAAAATTAATGTTGAGAGTCATGCTATCTTGAGTCTAGGAAACCTTGATACAAGTAAAGGCAGCTTGGAATACCTCTCTTGCTAATCGCCACTCTGATTTAAAGCGTGTGAATGGAGTTTGACGACTTCGTCATCTGATATCATGCGAGCGCAGCAAGGCAGGAGGATATGGTTTTCTTTCAGGGTTTGGGCATTGTATTCAACATGGATCAGACGATCTTGCTATGCTATGGCTCACAAAGGGCCGAGCCGTGCTTGAGACCGAGGATTTATCGAGGGGCCTGCAGTTAGCGGCAAAGCACCGCGGCCTGTCTGTCGTTAAGTTACTTCTGGATAACGGGGCAGAGGTCAATTACCGGGCGAAATCGTCGATGAAGACAGCACTGCACGAGGCTGTGCACAGGGAAAGCCTCGAAATCGTCCAATTATTGTTAGATCGAGGAGCGTCCCCTAGCCTTAGGTATTCCTCAAACGGTGATTCACCGTTGCATACAGCGGCAGCGATGGGCAATACAGGCATATGCGCTGCGCTTCTCAAAGCCGGGGCTGACATCAACGACTCAAATGAGCATTGGTGGACTCCGCTCATGCTCGCTATACGCAATGGCACAAACACCGTGCGACTCCTGGTCGAAGGTGGAGCTGATGTCAATCAAACTGAGGATGAAGGGTGGACGAGCCTGCACTTTGCAGTGGATTATGGGGGGCCTGATCTGTTGAAATACCTGCTGAAGCATGGTGCCGACTCGACCGTCCAAAACGCCCGAGGAGATACCCCATTACGGCTTGCTGCGAGGTTGGGTAGATTGGACATCGCTCGAGAGCTTTTGGAGTGCGGAGTTAATCCGTCTCTTGGACCTGGCTGTTGTACAGCTCTAGAATGGGTACGGGGAGAGAAATTACCGACTGGCCTTGCCGAACCCGCTCGGTTGTTACGACCATAAAGACAGATATTAGGATAATTTTGAGAGCAGCACTAAGCATTTATTATTGTCAAAAAAGATACCTAGAATTCATTAACCAAGCATAAGCCAGCGTGAATGGGTGATTCATAAGTTATTCCAGATAAGTGCAATGTTAGTGAACAAATAGTTATGTTTATAACAAATCCTAGCCACTTTATGCACGCCAGAGCTTATCTCAGCTATTACATTCTAATTGCACATTGTCAGTTCAGGTAGAGGGAAATGTTAAGATCACTATATGCAGTAGTTTCCCCTTCCTCTCATAATGTTCATTTTAGGGTAGGTTGTCAACCACAGTGAACTTTTAATATGATCTAAATATGGTATCCCACTAGCAGGTGTTATTGATCACGAAGTGCTAAGTACATGAAGGAGTGTCCCTAGATATTCTTTGTGGTAGTCCCTTTGAGAGAACTACGTGTGAATTGACCATATAGTATCCAGTAGCAGGACATAGCCCTCTATTTCTCATACCTTTACAGGTTCCGTTATTGAAGGATGTTCTCTCTGGGCTTGGAATCAACTAGCAGGCTACATATATGGGGGAAGTATCCTTAAACCTGTCTGTCGAATCCGAGGATCATCGTGATGACCTCCTTGCGTCCATTCTCCATTCGGCCACTCTCTGCGCACCAGAACAAAAGGAAATCCATCTTCAACTGTCATACCATCCAGAGTTGCATTAGACGGAATCTCCACCAGAAACTCAGGGGCCTTGACCTTTCTTAATATCTCTAGAAAAGGCCCCACACGGGGACTGGGAGTATCGGTCTCCGGATGATCGGCGCCCAATGCCACATGCAGCCTTTGCAGACCCGTCATCCACACCAAAACAATGCAGGCCTTTTTCCAGTTCGCCAGAACCTGGGAAAGGCCCTGACCATTGTGGAAAGCGAGCACCTCTATATGCACAAGCCGAATAGAGGCTAACCTTTGTGGGGGAACAGATTCGGATAGTTTGTGAAGGTTATACGGGTCGTCGAAGTAAAGAACGTTACTGCCATAGAGAGTATCAAGTGCTTCTGAGTATCTGTCGGACGTCATTCACTCCACTCACTCGATCATAACCACGTGAACGGTAGATTGCACTTACATCCTGCGGCATGAGCATAACAGTCCCTGGAATCGATACGAAAGCCATTTCCGAGGAAAAGGCGCTACTACTAGGCCGTTCTGATCAAGAGGTGGAGAGCAACGCCAGTGGACAACATTGCCATCCATCCGACCTGGATTCGCAGCGACACAGTAGATACTGCAAAGCCGCCTATTGGTTCGCCAAACGTGGATTGTCCGCGTGTGCTCAACGGACTCGCGGTAGATTCGCTGACGAATGTCGAGAGGCAGTTTGAACAAGTTCGACTGTAGTTGGCTGAAGTTGCGCTGCGTAACGATCCCCTTCAGGGGATTCGTGAGGGCGCGAGGACGTGTGAATGGTTCCAGCTCCCAGTTTGCGCGCCTGCGTCTCCTATCTAGGATACTCTTTGGGTTGTATCGTTTAATGAGTTTGAGGATTTTCATAACACCCCAGGCCGTCCATGCAGCGCCGACGAACATGGGAAGAACCAACACGTATACTATCGTGGTCTTAGCCGTGTTCTTGGCTGTTCTCATCATCCACACGAACACATTTCCGTCAGTCATCTTGAGGCAGGGCTTCCTTAGCCGAACGAGAGTGGAGAGTCTATAATGGAGACAGCCGTGGAGATGGACTGATGTCAAGAATAACATTCCAGACCAGCCTCGTATTTAACACGTGACAGCAACAATACGAGCCGAGTCGACCCGGTGAGAGAGACAGACACGGAAAGAAAGCAAGCAGGTGAGGGACCATCGAAGACGACCAATGTTAGCGAGGCGATGTGTGGCTTGTTTTGGGCTTCAAGTGGCTTGGTGTCGCTCCCCTGTGTATAGTAAAGCTCGAATTGAATAATATTCTATCCGTACTGGAAGCTGCCTCCTGGAGGAATGTGGAAAAAGTTGGATAGAGTTGGAAAGTTACAAGAACAATAATTATGAGGGACCGTAGATACCTCGCATACGGTCAAGCCACTATCCCAGACTGCCCAGTACACCAGGTCCAAACAGTCAAACAGGCGGCCCGTAGGTCCGAGAATTGTAGATTTGCTGCGCTCTTACAAAGTCGCTTTTCCTACCCTCTGGATGATAGATGACACCCTGCACATTCTTGTGTCGATCAGTGATAGTTCGAGTAAATGAAGGATCCGCGTCGATTCTTTTGCCATTGACAATCTTGTAAGCCTGGCCCCTACTGTTCTGCGTCTTGTAGGGGTATTCCATTGTCGGATACTCATAGAAGCTTCCTTTCCGAAAAAGCCTTTCCTGGTCATTGTATCTTTTGGGTCTCCTCTTGTTGTTCTTCCGGCGAGCTTGATCGGTTGGGTAGGGTGCGTTGCTCACGAGCTCTTCGACGCTGCTGCGCAGGCGAACGTGATGAACGTTTGGGAAGTTATCTCTGGGGCTTCAGAAGGTCGATTGATATGGTACGCCTGAATAACATTTTATGAGAAAATGAAGGTCTTGGTTGGTCCTCGCAGCTACTGACCTTTGCCTGGCGCGGGTCCGGTCCTCTGGCGGAGGCTCTAGAGGGTCCGTCCGAGTTCGCTGCCTCCGTACTTGCGGCTTCTCGACGGGTTTCGGCTGCACTGGCTTTGGCTGTAATGTTGGTGATTGGGACCGATCGGAAAAGCACATCTTGTCATGGAAACATTTGCTGAATCAAGGCGACTAGGAGGTACACTACGCTCCATGGAAGCGACGTCCCCTTTATAACCAACCTATCCCAACTCCATGCTGTACTTTTTCTGACCCCTAGGAGGTCATGCAGCATAATTTTTCTGGGCGTGTTCAAATATAGCGATCTGGTCATCTCTGAAACTGATAGCCGCGCGGGTTGGTTCTCAAATGCCCTCACCCTATCGTTGAAAACGTGTTGTCGACTTGAGCTTAGATTTTGCCGACGAGGCTGAGTCTGGCGTCATTAATTGACCAGGGTTTACTGCACTCTATTGCATTCAATCAACTCCAAATGTAGGATCTCGCGCTCAGCCTCGGCGGCTAGTATTACACCGATCCAAGTGGCCGAGAAGCGGCTATTTCAGACGATGGTTCCCCGCCATCAACACACTCGCTACTCTTCAACCACACTTGATATCGCAGTACTCTCAATCCCCAGATCCGACATGTCGAAACTCGACCTCAAGCTCGGAGGTTGGGGAGAGGAAAACCAACCAAAGGATAGTATTGACACCGATGCGCCCGTATCTTCAGAGAGTAAACCCATATCCCGATTCGACGGCCATGAGTTCGGATACAGATATGTCGGGACCACGGATTACAGTCAAGAGAAGGTATTCCAAATCCTAAACGACTACCTTCAGCCTGACACGAAGACGTCTCTTGACTCCGCCGTCCACTGGATTCTCGCGCTGCTGCCGGAGAAGGAGCCCTTGTCAACAGAAGTCTGGGACGTCGGTGAAGTCGTACTGCAGCTTGCCGAGCAGATACCCTACCACCATCCGTCCCAGATCAAGTTGGCCCGTTTCATGGAGGAGCTTACTCTCTCGCCGAAACTCACAACCGAGCTATCTGAATCGGTGAGTTGGCATGAAAAAGGCCTTTATTCCAGCGATCATTGACACAGTGCTAGAATGTATTGTACATGCGCGGCCAGCGTTTCAAGGAGTCGCTGCGCGACTGGTATAATGGTTCGTAAATGTCATTAACTAACGCCGTATTTCAGTTAGTAACTTGTTAATGCAGGCCCTGGCGAGGACGCGCCGCAAGAGTGGCCGAATCTCAACGCGTTCTTTGCACATGAAGCATCAACGCATATCCGACCTCATCAACCCGACTTTGCCATCTGGACTCTGCGCGACGCGTTCGAGAATCCTGCGGAGCCGATACATTGGAGTGCCTCGTTCAAGGGGATGCGAGATCAGCAGATCATTGCGGCGGCCCAGTATATCCTCTGGGACGGACAAGAGCTCTTCAAGCATGTCCTATGCCCGAATTCAATGGGGGATACGAAGGGCTGGGAACCCGGTCTATTATATTTTGGCGACGCTTCGCTTTCTTTGAAGAGATGGCGGTTCTGGAAGGACAGGTTCAGGAAAGCGGCTGGAGAGGACAGCGGCATGAGTGATGAATGTAGGAATGTGTCTACAAAAGCGGCAACTTTGATGGAGGCACTCGAGGCGAGTATGATATTCTAGATTGAGCTAGATGCTTGCTTTTTAGCTTCGTCTGGAGTGCATATTCCCAGTTACTTAATACCCGGTGGACCTAGTGGACTGCCAGAGCGTTGACCATGCTAGTTATTAGATTATTGCAAGACGTATTCATTGACCGCTGATTATTCAGACTTCGACGAGGCAACGTGCGAGTATGGATAGAATAAACAATTCAGTTCCACGGTTTCCTATACAGAAGGCTACGAAAGCTACCCAGTGATATCAAGCCATTCAAGGTATCATTGGCTTAACTTCACCAGCTCAGACAGGTGAAGTTGACGAGGAATGTTGGATTGAAGGCTCAGCAGACATACATATGTCCATCCATATTTCCAAATAATCATCATATACACAAAGGACTAGTACAAATGAAACATTTGGTAATCGCACGACCGACCCTCGGGTTTAGGGAGTGAAAGAACGCCCAGATCAAACAGCAGGTACACAGCGCGCCCCAGAAGAACCCTAGCTTGCCTCTCCAGGCTTTCCACCTAAGTTAGACGGACACCCCGAGCTGGCTGGTTTGTGATGCGGAGTTTCCTAAAGTCCAGTTGACAGCTTCGGCCTTTCCGACACAGTTCAAGTGCATTACACGCCGAGCCAGACCTCCAGCAGCATCACAGCCTCTGGGCAATGCGTCGCGCGACTAACTGAAATTCTCGCTGACTGCGTCAGTCTGCATCAGGGTCTCGCCGCCGACGTTGGCCTGCAGACAGTTCAGCCAGACACAGACATCACCGCTGTCGCACTACTGTATAAATAGTTTACTGAGGGTTTGCCTTGGATGCCCAAAACTGAAAAACGTCAATAATCATATTCCATCGACAGTGTTGGCAATTGGACACTATAGACATTGACAAAACATCAAAAGCACACCCTTCCATCGCCACCGACATAACGCGTCTACGCATCCGTGACCTTGATCCGAACTGCTTTCGCGAATTCCTCGGCTTCCCTGATAATCTAATGGATCTGTTAGCCCCAGTGAACAATGGAAACGCATGCTGTGCAACCAAGCCAAATAGCGATATCAACAACCACTCGATTGCAGACCACCTACTTCGTCATATTTTGTGACAGCGTCTCTAATACCATGGTTGATGTTGGATTTCCGTATAGCCGCCAATGGTGAGCTCGTGCCCTTCTCGATCTTGTCGATGGCCTTGATAACAGGGTCCAGGGATTCTCCCAGGTGGCGGAAGGTGTCCTGGATCGTCCGGATCCCCTCGACTGCCTTGGCCATTCTGATTACCAGCTCATCAATTTGGTCTTTCAATGCTGTGACTGTAGTTTGACAGTGTTGGACAGCTGCCGTCTCCGCATTCTTGGTGGCCCATTTGTTCGACGCATCTTTGAAGTCTTGGAGCTTCAGGTACAGGTCCACACCAGCCCCAGCGCCACCGAAGAAGGTGGCCCAGAACTTCCAACCTTTAGGGTCTCCTCGGTCTTTCTGAGAAGGCGAAACAATCAAGGAATCAGCGACTTTTCCAAAATGTGTAAATGCGCTAGTATCTCAACTTGAACGTACCAACTCCTTGCTAGTCTTATCCGCCTCGTCCCGGGCATCCTTAAGTTTCTTTTGCAGGTCTGCCAATTCCCGGTTCAAGTAAACCATTGCATTGCTGTATTGCTTCCCCGAAGAATCGGTCACTGGGCTCAAATACTTCTCGTGCAGGCTAGTGATCCGCGTTTTATTGCCCTCGGTCTCGTTGAGGAACTATTATCCATCCGATATGTCAGACACAAGTTCGTCCCTGCGATGGAGCACCAAGACAAAACTCACATCCTGAAGCTGCTGCCGCAGCGTGTCACTCTGAGTTTCCTTCTCCTTGGCTTCAGCCCTGAGCTCCTCCAGTCTTTCCTTCGCTAGTTCCTTCGCCGCCTCGAAATCTTTGTCAATGCTATCCCTGCCTTTGTATTTGTCCGATGTTAGCGTTTTCAGCTGCGCGCCGAGGCCGTCCTCCGCTCCGAGGGAGGTCTTGGCGTTTGTGGCGTATTTCTTCACTAGGGAGGAGTACGAGACTGGGACACAGAAAGATCAGTCAGGAAATTTCAATGAAGCGGGATGAAGAATCGCAATGCGGGATACGGGCAACCCACAAACCGGTTCCATGGGCCCCTTGCTGAACCTGTGGCACGAGTCGGAAACAGACACCAGGGCATCCTTGGTGTCCTGTATACGTGGTTAGATTCTATGCTTTCCAAGCAGACGGGGAAGGTGTCGGACCTCATAGATCTTGGGGACGACCTTCTCCAATGGCTCGAATCGGGACTCTGGGAGCTTCTTCCGGAATTCTGCATCGCTGTCGGGGTAGAGCATTCCACACCATACGTATGCTTGGATAGCTAAAGGGATCCTTGGGTCAGCCCGGACATTGGAGATATAATGATTCCACCTGGGATTCGTATTCGCACCGTAGAATGGGCTCTTGTCGCCATTGAAAGTCTTCTTGCCATCCGATTTTCCTTCCTTGAGGAAGCGATCCGGGAACTTTTCAAACTGGTCTTCAAGAGACTTTTGCAGAGCCTTGTGGGCTGCCTGGGGGTCATTTGTCCAGTCGGTCGACATGTTTAACGTGGATGAATGTAGACTATGAAGATTGGACGCAGAGCAGGGAAGCTGAAGGTCGTTATATAACATCCGAAAGCTGGGGACCTGTCACCGTACAGTGATCCAAAGGCAATGGCACGTCTACTGGACAAATTTCGAACCCCTGTAGATGGCCGACCAGATAGTCCCCGATGCTCGTATGCGCTCATTCTGACCTCGGGTGGAGACCCAGAGATAATGATTGAGTGGCTAGCTGAAGTTTCAGCTCTTGACTGACTGGGTTGACGTAATGGCGGTTCGTGTCTTGTGCTGAATATCTGCATGCCTGATAAAGTACGCCGGACCGTCCCCTTTCCGTTTGGTGTTGACCCCTCCAGGCCGTGATACCATGCCTTCAATGCATCAACAACAGCGAGCTCGCGCTCATTGGCGGAGTAAATCACTCAGCAGGGGTGTATGCGCTTGACCATTGAAAGCCAGCCGCTCCTGACGCCATCGCGAAAGACACTCATGACAGGGTCGCAAAGTAGGAGTGAACCAAGGCTCAATCATTGGATTGTGACTACAGGACCAATGCCCTATCACCCCATCTAGCCCCGCCATTAAGCTAGCGTCAGGATCAGCATGATGTGCAGAAGATGTCAATGCGTCGCATCGATCGATCCTTGCGGAGCTAAGTGGGTAGATGGTTTCAAAATTGAGTCTCATCGAAGCATTACGAGATACTAATCCTTTCATTTGAAGTGACGTATACTATGTGTCCGTTTCCGTACCACCTATTGGCAACATATATATATGGTTGACAGAGGTCCTGGTGAGGCCATACAGTCTTTAAAAGCATTAGAAAACAATCCATCATCTTATTTCATCAATCAACGACCCCAAGATATCATCATGACAGATCCTGGCTTCCCCGACTTCCAAATTGAGATCGAAAGCCCAGGCGGCCAGCCGTTTCCTTCCATCTCTAGCAAGACGCTGGGATCCGACCAAGACAAAGCGACGCTGTCCAGCCTCAGGAGACTCTGCCGCATGTGTGTCAGACGTTCTTGGTGACCGCCGTCAACTGTAATCTAACATGTCTTTAGCCCAAAGAAGTACGCCTTCAGCACAAATGGCAAAAACGCCCTCTCCGACAGCACGTCTCTCAAGGATTACATACATTTGACCCCTGACGTATGACCCATCTTTCCTAGAAACATTTGTATAAGCTTAGCTCACGATTATTCTAGAACCTTGCCAGCCTTTTCCCTGAGACAACGTCCACCGAAACAAAGTCCACCGAGCCGACAGCGGGAGCACCAGCTTCCGATGCCGGCAAAAAGCCTCAGCCAAAGGGTGTTCCGTTCGTCACGGTTCACCTCGTCTCCACGGCCCTGGCGAATAAGCCACAGGAGAACCTCCCGCAATCCAATGTGATCTCTGACCTCAGAAACCTGCTTGGAAGCGCAGGTAAAGGGGTGGATGCCGGTCAACTCGGGAACACCGCCGAATTAATGGGGAAGCTGGAATCTCTGCAGCAGGATTACAAAACGGCAGCTAGGTAAGTTGTTTGGAGAAAGTTAACATATTCCGGAAATGCTGACATTGCCTTGAAACAATGCAGCTCCAAGGACTACACGGAACCTGCTGATTTGACGGAAATGCAGTGGGAGAATATTCTGTTCAATAACCGGATCCTGCATGGATACATCCATATGCCGAGAACGGGGCTGTTGGTTAAGGCTCCTAAACGAGGTATGCCAGTTAAGATACCCCGTTTATCACCGAGGTGCCATTATATGCTGATGACAGAAGCCTTCTCGATCCGTCGTCCGCTTCAGGCACCCTCTCCAGATCTCGGGGAAGTAGCGAAAGCTCCATCGTCGGAGAAGAGTCCTAAAGCACAGGACAAGGCGTCCGACAACTCCAGCGGCGGGAAGAAAGTAGTAAAGGAATATTTGGTTTGTGGGACCCTATCATAGCCACAACCCACAGGTAACTGACATGGGTCCAAACAGAACACCGTCCCAGGTATTCCTTCTTTCTACGTCGATGACGACTCCAAAGTCACCGTCACAGAAACCAGGACTGCTTTCCAACGGTCCATGGCGCGGGAAGGATTCAGTTCGACCGCTATTGAAGCGAATGCGTCAGTCATGAATCTCCACTTGTGTGATACCCCTGATTAAACATCGTGTAGGAGCGGGAGCCCCTTTGGCAAATCGATCTCTGCGTCTGCAGCACTCTCCGACGAGAATTCCTTTAGCAAGAAGAGTATCAAAGAAGAAACGGATTTCACTTTGGAGGTCGCTTACAAGGTATGCATTCGCATAGCTCTCGAGTGAGTTGCATGAAACACTAACCCTGCTGCAGTTTCCCCGCGTAGCCATAGACCTATCCCCACGGTACTTACAGCTGTCCGACGAGTGCGAGGAAGCAATCAAGAACA